GTGTATAAATTACAAAGTGTTCGTACATTAATATTTCTTAATTTTTTTATTTTATTAAAAATAGGTTGGCTGCCTCTTTTAACCTTGTATTTATTCGAGAGTGTAACCAGTAATAAATACAATCGAATCATATAACAAACATAAATGAAGGTAGTTTGAGGAGTTTGCGTACTGCATCTTTCACGATGCGCATACCTCGTCGTAGGAGTACAACATGACAGGGCATTTGTTGTAACTGCCTGCCGTCTTTGGAACAACCTACTTTTATCCATTAAAATGCTTGATAGTCGTCCTCGGTTCGTGGCGGCAAAATGTATTTTGAGCGTTTGGCTTCGGCTGGTGCGTCCTAGGAAACGATCACATGAAAGACCAATAGATGGAGCACTCCTATCTAACTAACATTATCATATTTATTTTTATTTTTAGCTGCTATAGTTTGGTTGTAGTTTTGGTTATACCATAGTCGACACCTGCCGCGTCGCGTCGGGCAGGCCTACTAGAATCACAATTTTATTGCGGGGAACTTTTTATAAACGGACGAGTCCCTAAACATGGAGAAATGTTCAACTTTTTATTCTTTGTATTCGTCTAAAAACGATTATTTTTAGCTCACTTATCAAAACTAATGTGACAGTCAGAATATAAAAGAGCGTTGTTTTAAGAGTTTCAAAAAATATCGTGTGACTTTGAAAATTCGTACATTGTAAACCAAACGTCAGAACTTTATCGAACTTTTATTCAACATAGATACATATATTAAAATTAATTTTTAGGTTTTCAGAGTTTTGTTACGCCCAAAAAGTTTTTGTTGTTAATTATGTAAACTAACTTTTTCTAAGAAACTGTAAACGCTAGAAAAAAATTAAAACGTATTTTGAAGGTCATTGTGTTAGTAATAGAAATATTTATAATACAAAGGCGTATTATCACGGATATTATTGATATCAACTAACATTTAATTAGTTGCGCTCGCTACTGGCTACTAGGGCTCATCGCCAGCTGTAAACTAACTTCTGCTCATCACAGCCGGCAGCCGCCATCTTGTTGTAGGTGAAAAATCCCACGTCGCGGCCAACGTGCTCCATCAATTAATTGGTCTTATGTGATCGTTGGTCCTAGGACTGTTTTGGCGCTTGCGTAATTGCTGACTGAGAAGCTTGGGCGTGTGAGTGTTTTTTTTAGAACATTTTTGTTGTTTTTAAAAGTATTAATTTTTTGTAAATAATGTTTTCTATTAAATTGCGTGTTCTATTTTATATTTATATGTATGCAGGTTGTGATAAAGGGTCATGTGGCACTAACTTTGCCTGTTGAAATAAAGGATTTTCATTACATGGGTTTTTAAGTAAATGTATTAGTACAATAATTGGTTTCACTACCGCCGTCAAATAGTCCAACGATAAATATTGCTCATCAGCTTACATGTCGTTGCGAAGACAACATCAAAGCCTGCAACTCGTCAAAAACACAATTATAACAAGGATGAAACGAACATAGAAACATGAAAATGGTACAAATAAACAAACATTTAAATAAACACTATCATAATAATACTGGTTTAGTCCGGTATTATTACAATATCTGTGGAATTTCCTAAATTTTACATTTTATTCTGAAACTACAATTTGTAGTTTGCAAGGGCTTTTTCGTAACACCAACGAACATATGGCATTTTAATACCCACATGGTTAGGTAAATCTATTTAAAATTAAATAAAATATTACCAAACAAAGATAAAAAATCTTACAACCCTAAAACAGCGTATAATTTACCTGCAGTGCCAACGGGCATACTATATAATGAATAGGCAAAGTATATAATGAGCTCTATTTCATGCATTGCTTGGTTTATATTAGGAAATATCTATATACTAATCATTCTACAGAATTCCTTATTATATACTTTGCCTGTAACATTATATAAAGCAACTTTCCAAAGTTTCATGGCGATCGGGTGGACTATATCGTAACGCACAAAAGGCAAATGGATACGACCAGGGTACGACAGACGACATAGACCTATATAGGGATTTAATTAATTTGATTTTCAATTGAGTTCGTATCCAGTTTAAATTAAACTTCCCTTTCAATTTCAGTGCATTAAGAGGTCTGAGTCAAATGGGGTGGGGGTAACAATTCCAGGGGGATACAGTTCCGGTCCTAGAAGGAAGACTACCTTGACAGGGGGTACAATTCCAGGGGGGTACGATTCCCGCCCGTATAGTTATTTAGATGCTGATTTAATCAAATCACTCGGGCATAACGTTTCGCCTGAAGACCGCCCCCCGGACAACTACCCCCCTAAGCAGGTTCCTACGTCATGTTGACGTCAGAGATCGGGGGGGGGGTAGTTTTCCAGTCACGGACACTTAAGTTTCGTTGTCATACTGTTCTAAACTAACCTAACCTAACCAACCAAACTTGCTGTTACATTTCAAAATTATGTATGATATTCCCCACATGACTTTTATGTTATAAAACTTAATTACTCTACAAATTACATACTGAATTAAAATTACAATTACATAGCATTACATTTTGCTAGGGGGTAGTATTCCAGTCGCGGACATGGCTCCCATATTGGTTAGTTGGCAGATTTCGTGACGTCACGTTTCACCTGGGGGGGTGGTTTTCCGGGGGATAGTATTCCACATCCCCGGCATATCAATGTCAAATTTGTATGAGGGAATACAATTCCGACTCGTACACGCCGTTTTGGCCGAGAAAATGATACTTCATTATGACGTCACTAACCTTTCAGTTCCAGGGGGTTACAATTTCGCTCCCCCAACCGGTCACCCACATCCCACCATCACTGGGGGCGTGGATAAAGAGGAAGGGAGGTGGGGCTTAACGAATACTTAACCAATACAGGTTAGCGGCAATATTTTACGAACGTTGACATAATCGTTCAATTTCTCTTAGTTTGACGTGTAGCAAATGCGTCAATAATCGTTGGACGATATGTTACACCGCTTAACCTGTCACCCGGCGACCTTGGTTAATGGCTCGAAAACATAAATTATCAACTATGTGAGTTACGAACAGTATATTAAACATCGATGGTTGCGACATCACATAATAGTATTTTATCAGTTCTTCATACTTTTTTGTCCCGTGACGCTAGTCACAAACCCGGGATGGGTTTTTACATTATTTTTGTATACACCACTATTTTTTAGCCTTCGTCACTAATGTCAAGTTTTCAAAAAAATTTGGACACAATCGGAATAAGTTTTTCAATCGAATCTACTCCAAATGACCAAATGTTGCCGATACGCAACGCAATTCACTGTGGAACGTAGATGCGTGTTTAATTACATCACTCGCAATATAACAAAGACCGTCAATAATATCAAGTTATTCTGAATATCTAGTTACAGGCATCTTAGTCAAAAATTGAAACAAGAATAATTAGTAAATATCTTACTCGGCATAAACTATGATTAATACATCAACAGAAAAACAGCCAATAAGAGATTTTTGTGCGCAATCCCCATGGGCGCACATGAAAAGAGCCCAAAAACTCAGGCAGACGCTTGAAAAGCACCCGGACCTCCAAGGTCCCTCTCAGGACGATGCGAAAAGTGCGCGGGCTCTTCCTAGAACTTTCACAACGAGTCTTTAAAGGAGAAAGAACCAATAACACAGTTGAAATACATGAATTTATTTCCAATATTAAGAGATACACTGTTAAAAGATACGTTATTAAAATATAGATTATTAAAAGATATTTACATTACTAAAATATATAGTCTGTTTACCTAACCGAACTTAAACTAACCTAACCCAACCAGACACAACGCTATTTCAGAACACGAGTCAGCGTCCTCCTCCTCAGGTACCTGTGGAGACCCGGGCTCTTTCCATGCTTAAGATTAGTGAACCTTTTTGAGGATTTAAATTTCGGGCTCTTTTCGTGTGCTCCGATCCCCATATGCACCCTTAGAATAGGGTAAATCGGAGAAGATTGTGTTTTAAGTGTTTTACATTTCAACGGACAGCTCCGTATTGATCAGTCCGTAAGTTCTTGGACAAGACATTCTCAAGACTAGTGCTAATTCAATGGTTGGTAATGGTGAATATAATTGTTGAACTTAACAAACAACAATGCAGTGTATAGTCAATGGTAGGGCCTACTGTAGTTTAACATGGATCCTTTGTTAGTCAAAACTTACCTCCGAAGTCATTGAATATAGATTTTTGTTTCCATCTACGCCAGTTGCATTTATAAACGTGTTTTCAAGGGATGGCCCAGGTACTGTTAGGTAATATATAACACCGACCTGATGTAAGAGAGCATCATTGATTGACAGCCCAAATGGCAACTGGGTCTGGAAATGATCTCGTCCAGCTTCCTTCAGATTTGAAGACGAGCAATATAAACACTGCCCATATTCAATGATATATAATTACATAATACCGTATTCGTCAGGATACATCTAGTCTCATGAAGGCTGATTGGGTAGGTAATAGATGTAGTTATTTATTTTTTGTGTAGAGAAAACTTTGGAGGCTTAGTAGAGTCCATGTAGCCTACTAATTAGAAACACCAAATTAAGCATCGACGCGGTTGCTTACTCTGTAGGTTAAGGTAAATGCTTCCTGTCACAAACAAATGATAAATGTTTTCAGCCAATAAAAAAAATATATTTACACGATGATAAATTATAACAAACTACTATTCCTGAATTTCGATATCTTGTCACCAAGACGCGAGTCTTTCACTACTCTCTTCCACTCTTCGATTCATCATAAGAAAATGTGGTTTTTCATAGTTAAATATAGATAATACTCCAAACTTTAATTGTAGTTGTACCATAGTCTTGTACCATAGTACCACAGTCTGGTTTCAGCTATTCCAAGGATGAGACATCTACTAAGGGAGTGTGTTTTATCTACGGTTTTACTTACCAAGGTGAATTGCACAATAATATTTTACTCAAAAGATTTTATTTGGTTTTCACAGTACAAAAGTACAAAAGTATATTAAAGCTTTGGTTCACTAAAACAAGACGGACTACAACTATTTGTAATCAACTGATTTAGAGGGCGAGTAATAGTCTAAAGATTTGGATGGAGTGTATTCGGCAGACTTTGCTGGATAGTCGTAACTACTATAGCTGTAGGGTGCCTCTATGCTTTTTACAGGATAGTCTATGCTCTTGGTGGGATAATCTATGCTCTTAGAAGGATAGTCTATGCTCTTGATCGGGTAGTCGATGCTTTTCCCGTAGTGATGTTTGGGGGGAGGGTGGTGAGCGTGTCCTATTTTCTTCACGACGGCGTTGAAGCCGTTGTGGTCATCAGCGGTATATTCAACAATCCTGATGGTGCCGTCGGGTTCTACAAGAGAGTACATACCCTTGACCTGAAAACAAGAGAATTGGCTGATAAACAAATAGCTGATTATATCAAAGTTAAATAATGCTGTATCCCTATCCGCAGCAGGCAACCTACTCATTGTAAAACAAAAACAGAGTCTGTGAGTATGAAGTTCTGATGCAGTGAGAGTACACAAATCGTTTGCGGTTTGGTTACTTACCAACAACCTCCCATTACATGGAATGCCAGATTATGTCAATGTTTATTTATAAGTTTGCAAATAAGAATAACATTTGAACTGTCAGTTTGTGTTCAGTGATTTTAGTAACCAATAGTCTTCAACCACTGAATGAAAAGAGCGTCGGCTGAGGGGTTACCTGAAAATGGAGCAAGCCCTACAGCTGGTTGTAAGTTGAATAAGAGTCAGATTGACTTGCTCAATTTTAAGAGTGACGAGGATTGTGTGACTATCAAGAAATAATGGAGTATCTGAGTGAATTTTAAGATGGAACAGGCATCAAAGTCTAAATTGAAAAAAAAAAATTAAAAACAAAATCATAATCATCACAAGGATCTCAAATTTTTACTTTACTGCCATTTTTAATTTCTCCTCCTATACCATAGTATATGGAAAAAGTATTGCTTTCGTCAAAATTTTCGGGTTTAGTATTTGAGCAGACATATCCGTTTTGGGCCACAAAAAGTGGTTTTCGAAGTGATGCCTGTGTATTTGTGTGTCTGTATGTTTGTGTGGATGTGTACAGAGCTACAGAGCGCCTGTAGTTCGATTTTGTTGAAATTTGGTATGTGTGTACCATGGTATCTCCAGGTGATTTTATTGTTTATGAAATATTGATTTTTAATTGTGAATTTTCCATAAAACCCATAAATAGTGCAAAAATCTAATTTTCTCGAACGATTTTGATAAAAATTTAGTATTTTGTAGTCCTTATAATTCAAAACAAAATAATGCAATCCCCGCATTGATGTAAAAATACTGCTCAAAAGTTATTTCGACGTTTGTGATATTCCCCATAAAATATCATAGTTACTCCCACCACCTACCCATGATAAAGGTGGTTGACAAGCTAATGTGAAAAATATATAAGTGAGAAAGCTAATGTTTCACATTGCTTATTTAGAGCTATAGCGCTAAATAAGTTATAACTCACCTTGTCTCCATCCCGATGTTCCCATTGTTGTTTGATGTCCCCGGTGTGAGGGTCATGAACCCCGTACTTGAACTCGTACTTCGGGTAGTGCTGCAACAAACACACATTGATAGAAAAACACAATAAATGTTCTACGTACGTACATTTATGATCCCAAAGTAAAATGTGAAGCATGGTGTGTTTCGTGTTGGCCACGTTTGATTGCGCTAGTGGTGAACTGCATTTTTTCTCTTGATCTAGGGAAGATGTCACGTTAATTGTTGTTAAATTCAAGTAAAGCTGGTTAGATATTGTATGTGTGTCTTAAACGTTTGTTCAGATGAATTAAATACCCCCGCCGCAGCAAACCTGCCGACTAAGCGAATTTCCATTTGTCTGAATTGATTTTCAGTTAAATATATTTTAATAACATAAGGTTTAACGAGTACCTAGGTTTGCTGCTACAAGGAAACTAATAAAGTGTGTTTTTGAGTAAAATATTGATAGCTTAGTACAAAATAAATAAATTTGCCAAGTTTGATCAAAATATATTCATAAACAAGCAAACTAAAACATTTGACAATATTCTCCATAAGAATAACATGGGAATTTTAAATTTACAATTTTTTTAATTTTCTCAGTTACTAATATTCGAACAAAAATACTTTTATATACAACATTATTTGTTTTTTTAAGCTCTTTAAAAAGGTCTAAAGAGAAATTGGGAAATTTTGTGTTTTGAGGGTCAAAAGTGAGAAAAACCAATTTTTACCCCATAAAACCCCCCGTAAAGCCCCGTTCCCATGGTCCGATCGTGCTGGTTCGCGAACTCATTCAAGTTTATCCCGCTTTACACCTTTAAACCAAATTTCATCAAAATCGGACAAAAATTACTCAAGTTATCGCGTTCACGGACGTATATATATATATACATATATATACATATATAAAAATTTGAACGAATAGTGTTTTTGGCCTCTGGGGACATCAAAATGAAAAAGTAAATCGGTCCCGGGTCTAGGTCTTACCGTGCCACCTACGGTAATAGCTACTTCCCTATAGGGAAATTCGCTAAAACTAAAGCCGACTGGACTGAAATTGTAAAAAATGTGTAATAATAGGAAATGAATAACGAATAAATACATCGATGTTGTCTAGACCCAACTTCCATTGGGTTTGTGTCTTTGAAACGTTCATGAATAGTGTTTACGCGTAAAGATTGTAATTGTTGAATTCCTATAATTTTGCGTGTGACCAAAGATGTACTTGAACACTATACAAATATACGGTCTTAGTAGAAGATGATGAGGATGAAGTCTGAGGAGTAGACACCACTTTTATGCTTAAACTAGTTTGTTGGTGTATTCTGTTATGTATTGTTACCATAAACAAGTATTTTCTTTGTTAAACTCAACTTACAATTATTATGATATTTATTAACAAATGAAATATTTTCGAAATGTCCTCAAATACTTACGTAATGCTCGTGGTCATGATGAGGTGCGTAACTCGCGTATTCAGCTCCGTCAAACTCCGTCTTGAACAGCCCGGGAGAGATCACCGGAACTCCATACGACAAACCCCCAGATTTCGAGGGGTACCCGTACTCATACCCGGATTTGGAAGGGTACCCGTACTCATACCCGGACTTGGATGGGTACCCTATTGACTTCGATGGAGAATCCAGGTAGGGGGATTTGCTGGGGTACGGGTACTCCGGTACTATTATTGGCAAACCTTTAGGAGAATACTGGGGGACCAGGGGTGCCCCCTTGTACTGGTCTGGTACGATGATGGGAGCCAGTAGAGGGACGTACTGGGGGGCTGGTAGATCGTGGTGCTCATGGGTATCGTAGACTTCCTCCGAGTGGTACTCTCCACTGTCGTCGTCATGTGAGTAGTCCTCATCTGAGGGTGCGGGTGATGGTGAGGGGGAGGGTGATGGTGCAGACGACACGAGCGCCAGCACGGCTGCTGTTAGTAACGTCTGCAACGGAATAAAGACAAAATGTGAGCTACAACAAATGTAATTAGTTTATTAGTGTTTATATTACTTTACCAAAAAGTATATACAGTGTGTAAATTAAGTCTTTACAAAATATATTTTTTTAAACCGAAACAGATAGAAATATTCTGTTTGTGGCGTTGACTGTTAACAAAGGTTCCGTAATTGTTTACATCAAAAATATTTTTCAACCCCTTTAACAAGGTAGGGGTATTTATAACCCCCCTATCAGGGTAGGTGGTAGGGGGTGACTTATTTTTTTCTAATAGCAACCCCTATTGAGTGACTCTTCATTTTGAAGTATTTGTCAAAAGATGACGCAAACCCGAGGTGGATATCTTACTGCTAGCCAAAATGGCAGGTATTCTAAAGTTCGATTTACTGTAGTACACCTATGTGAAAAAGCACTAATTTCACTAATATGGAAACAAATCTGTATTTTTAACCGACTTCCCCACTACCAACAAAAGGAGGAGGTTCTCAATTTGTTTGTGGCAACGATTTTTTTATCATAATAATGAAAAAAATTCTGTTTGTGGAATTGATTGTTAACAAAGGTTCCGTTATTTTTTTTTCAGAAAAAAATGTATAACCCCCCCATCAGGGTAGGGGGTAGGGGGTGACTTATTTTTTTCAAATAGCGAACCCTATTGAGTGACATGTTTCATTTTGAAGGGTTTGTCAAAAGAAATACAATGACGCAAACCCGAGGTAGATATTTCATCCCTAGCCTAAATGGCGGGTATTCCAAAATTTGATTTATGTAAAAAGCACCCATTTTGGAATACCCACCATTTTGGCTAGGGTCGAGATATTCACTTTGGATTTGCGTTATTGTGTTTCTTTTGACAAGAAACATGTCACTCAATAGGGGCTTCTATTTGAAAAACATAATTCACTCCCAACCCCCTACCATGATAGGGGAGCTATACATTTTTTGTGTGTAAAAAAATAGCGGAAAATTTGTTAAGAATCATTGCTAGAAAAATAATATTTCTATCTGTTTCGTTTATAAAAATACAGATTTGTTTCAAGGCTTAATTTACACACTGTATATTTGGTACAGTAATAAATTGGTTTATTTTAGTAGATAGTTATCAGTTACGGAAAACTTAAGCCTCGTCATAGGATATGTCTTTTTTTATTATATGTGGACATACAGCTATACAGTTAGGGTGCTGAAAACTACCGAGTCGTAGCATTACGCGATAAGCCATACCGATAGTTGATTAACGATATTTGATCCAGTGCCTCTAGATACAATGTTTGGACTGTATCCACTAAAACATAAATACCCGTAATAGGGAAATAAATCAGTCCCATGGACACATTTAAAACTATTTGGATTCTGCAAGTATGTTTCAATCCTAGTGGAGTGTACCTGAAAAACATTTAACTAATTTAAAGCACTTCGTTGTCAAAGTGTTGGACTGGTATGAAGCTGTAGGCGATTTCGGCTCTGTACGTGGTTATTATATATACCCAAAACGAGCAACTACTTACGGCATATACCAAAAAAGTAGGGTAGTTTTTAGTGTTAAAATCAGCTGATTCTAACTTTGTTTATGTCAGGAAATAGTTATTTGTGCAACTAGTGAGCAAAGGGAGCAATTGACTCACTCGAGAGAAATACTTACTCACGAGCCATAGGCGAGTGAGGAATGGTTTCTCGAGTGAGGCAATTGTACTTTGAACTCGAGTTGCACATTATACTTTTCCTACAGTTACCATAAAACAAAAACATTTGTGAAGAAACATGAAGAAACATAACCTATTTTTACACAGAAGTGAACTTTTAATATAACATTTAATGTGAAGTGACAAATACAACAGTACAACAGCTGACCAGCTGATTTACAGCCAGTGCTGCCAACGTATTTCGCGCGCATACGACGTTGCCTGCATGTTACGCGCTCACTATTTCGTGCCTTCACGTTGCAAATCTGGAGTGAGACAAAGTAATTAGAGTGAGACAATGTTAACATTGTCTCACTGGTGAGCGAATTGGCCACTTTGCTTTCTCAAATCAGTGAGAGAACATGTACATTGTTAGGTAACTGTAGGAAAAGTATTGTTTGTGTAGCGAAAGTAATGTTTATATCAGGAAAAGTCAGCTGATCACTATTTGTTTTTGGTGTATGGAAATTGAAGATTTTCGAATACAGACTTATGTTTTCTCCATAAGGATAACATGGAAACTTCATATACCACTGGGGCAGAGCCCTGATGGAATTTCTTGAAACGCTGCCTATTGCACCTAGAGCTTAATAATTAGAACCTCCATTTCGATTACTGTACTGATTTGTTATGGCTTTGTAATGTTTTTAGATATTGTGATTAGTGAGTTGTATTTGCCTTTTATAAGTATATATTTTTATCAAACTTGCAAAATTTGTTTATTTATTTTCTAGCAAACCATAATCATTTTCCTATAAACACACTTTATTACTCTCCCTTTAGCAGCAAATGTAGGTTCTCGTTAAAGTAAATATTATTTATAAATTTAAGTGAAAAACAAATCAGGCAAATGGAAATTGGCTTAGTCTGCAGGTTTGCGGTGGCGGGGATACAAACAAGGTTTTTTCTTATTTTTAAACCCTACATTGATAAAGGCTGATGAAATCGTAGGATGTAATCGTATATTAAAAATTGAGCATTTATAAATGAATACACGATATTTGATCAGTTTGGAATTTTAAACGAATGCATGGAGATGTTGATGAATATAAGAAGACCTCAAATTGGAAACCTCATATTCTTGAAAATGTTCAAAGTCGTTGCCAATTATCACAATATTTTGTCCAAATTAGGAAAAAAATGGGAGAACAAATGGGGCCGCTGAGGTGTAATGTACCAATCGCAAGGGTAGTACACCGAGTGTAGTCCCGAGCATTGGTTAAAAACAGCAGAGTTTGGCAGTGTAGGACAATGTTACTCACTACCAACACCTAGCGGCTTCGGTCCTCCCTTGAGTGTTAGAGACTCGCCCGCTGTATATATGCCGCCGCGAAGACACCACTTTCCGACGAGAACCAACTATTACAAACAACCCTCAAACTGACACTATGTTAGTTAGAGGATTACAGTTTTGCTAAAAACAAGTATTAAATCAATTACTAACAATTCATTATGGTTTATATAATTTAATTAGTTAATACCCCCAAAGCAGCAAACCTGCATACTAAGCGAATTTCCATTCGCCTGATTTGATTTTCAATTAAATCTATTCAAATAGCATTTAGCATTAGGTTTAATGTGTACTTAGGTTATCTGTCCACTGGGAGGGTAATAAAGTGTGTTTTTTGTGAAATATTAATAGCTTAGAACAAAATAAATAGATTTGGCCATTTTGATTCAAATATATCCATAAACAAGCAAACTAAAACAATTAAGTTATTCTCCATAAGAATAACATGGGAATTTTAAAATTACAATTTATTCTATTTTCTCCGTAACCAATAACCGCACACAAACACTCCTACATACTAAATTATTTGTTTTTTTCGTTATTTAAAATGGTGTAAAGAGAAATTGTGAAACTTTATGTTTTGAGAGTCAAAAATGATAAAAACCTATTTTTACCCCAGAGCCCTGTTCCCATGCCAAAAACAAGTATTAAATCAATTATTAAAAACAATTAATTATGGTTTGCATAATTTATTTAATTAAAATGAACAACAGCTGGTCGATGCAAACAACAACCTGTTTTTTACCCACTGTACTCATTTCATTTACTCATTGACTAACTTGGTAAAAACCATCATGTAATCGGCAGAAATCAGTAATTTAGATCAGCACAATCAGTAGGTGGCTCACATCAACTAAGACAAATTTTATTAAAAACCTGGCTACAACTTTAACATTGGGATGGAATGTCTAGTTGTTGTATTAATAGTGAAAGATTTACTTGAAGAAGGTCTGTTACATGGTGTTGTTTACATTATGCAAATTTATGTGTTACCTTTGACTATTAATACAACGTGTTACTTAGTAAGAGGTTTATGTTTAGTAAGGTAATACTGTACATGTTTTGTAGAATTTTCATCATATTTTTTCTTTGAAGTTTCAGGTAAACAACCTAACTGCGCAACCATAACCTCAGAAACATTAAATTCAGAGAAAACATTAAATGAAACCTTCAATGTTGATAAAAAACCGGGCTTTAAAGACTGTAAATATATCTGTTTCATGTAATAAATCCAACTACTGCATTATTCCTAATTGTATTCCAAGCTGCTAATTTTACTTATAAATCCCTGAAATTTAAGTGGCAAATATTGTATATCTTTTTTGGGTGTTTCTAAATCTTCATTTACAAAATAAAGGTACGTATTGCTACTGTAGTAGTCCTATCAAGCAATTAAGTCAATGAATTTAAGGTATTACTAAACTGTCCTTATATATTGTACTGATATTTTTATACATGATAAGAATTATAATTTCCACAATCTTATCCATATGTATCAACCCCTTTCATACCCATTTTGTTCTATTCTACCTTAATTTATTCTTAAAGAACTCTGGTCGCTATGGTCTCTGGTTCTTTTTCTTGGATTTCCCTAGTATTATAGTCACTTTAAAGAAGCCTACAATAAAATATTTATATACTAATGTATTCCTTCTGTTTCTAACTGTTTATATTTGAACAAAAATGTATAGTTGGTGTGGACAATAACATTTTATATGCCAACACAGGTTAATAAAGATTAAGTTGGTGTTAACATTACTTGCAGTTATGTTTCAAACATGCACTTACAAGATGTTTCATTTTTGTAAAACAAAAGTGGTTTCGATACTTTCATTTGCTAACGAAAAGTAATGAAGATTTTGTATTTACATAAAACTACGGTACTGTACACTAAATATGGAAAAAATTTAACTTTTCGAGTTAATGGTAATAACAAATATAGCAGTGAAGCCAAAATATAGCATTATTGTTAGTTAAACCACGCTCTTCAACAGAGTTAATTTGTTCGATCTTATATTGATTTAAATTTACTTGGGATAATATATCAGGAACTAGCTAAGATGGACTTAGATGTTGGTTTTAAGAGTTTTAGATGTTGGATCGTAAAGATATATTTTGTTTTTATTTTAGAGATACCAATAAAAGAATTTATGATAATCATCATGGGTATTTTTATAGTTTTGTTTCTGAACTAAAGGAGTATTTATAAAAATATGTCGTTACAAGTATTGTGTTTGGACTATCCAATTTTGTAAATGTAAGAAAATCCAATGTCGCTAAATGAAATCTAAATATTAATAGCATAATAATAATTTTGTGGCCTAATATACATATAATAATTATTATTATTTATGTTCTTGTGACTTGGGTCTATCTTTGATGATGGATACTGAAGTTGGTGTACTTTCTATATAAACCAATAATAGAAAATTTTCATTAAAGAACATATCTGCATGAACAACTCTAGTGGGATACAGTCTATTTTTTTCCTGTAGTTTTTGATCCTATGATAGTTAGCACGACATAAGAGATGTTCTAATTATAATAAGTAGTGTCTTTTATTTGATTTTGTTGAAAAGTTTACGTAATTTACAGGAAATAATTAAAGTCACTACATTTTGTTAGCTAAAGTCAACAAAGCTCATATTTCTTAACATTGGAATGTAGTGCCTAGTTCAATAGTAAAATATATTATTTAACTATCTATAATCTAATATCCACTATTTCTAGATCCACAGTATCCATATAAGGCACGTAACACTATGTAACACTTCACTAACACACCTGGAGTGACAGGAGCATGGCTGGAGAACTGGACACTCCAGCGGCGAGGCGACTGTTATATACCAGTCTCCAGTGGCGCTCCAGACCTCAAGGTCAACTGATAACAAGGCCTACAACACTGATAAAGAGTGAACATGACCTCTGTCCAGGTACACTTTGAGATAATATGCTAATATGTGTAATTATTCAATAGTTGTTGATAGATTTCTGTGAAACTCTGAATTAAGATGAGTGGATATTTGATATCCTTTGGCTGGGCTGTAAATTTACCAAAGATATATGAAGACGGCCAACTCATAGGCATATTCATCTCTTTTAAATTCTCTCAGGGATTTTAATTGAAATGGCAATCATACAAAGGTAGGTATTTTAAGGTGGAGACGAGTGTTGCGATCTTTTAGTCTTGTTCCTAACTAAGGCCGACATACACTCAATGGCAAATAAAGGAGACAGTTTATAATGGATTCCGATCCACATTTTGGTCTTGTAATTTGCGAATTGGTCTAATTATCAGGAGAGTCGTAGTAGCTGCGGATATTCGTAGTACTCACTAGTGTAGAAGTCAATCCTCACTTGGGAGTTTTTTTTTTGTTTTTTTTGTCCTAGGACGCTAGGCACGAGCCTGGGATTGTTTTTCACATTACTTCAGGCTAGACCTAGGGGTTGCGGCACTATCACTTGGATAAAATCCATTGGTGACTTGGCGGGGATCGAACCCGGGACCTCAGGGACTAAAGTCCAGCGCTCTAACCACTACGCCAGCTCGCTCCCCCAACCACACTTGGGAGTTTATCGCATACAGATCATATATATAACTATCCACAATTCGTGACCTCCAAGAAGCTGGATTACAGGACGACCCCACGGTCCCAGTCTTATGACTAGCCTGAAAAAAGTTCCGGGCAAAGCCTGGTGGCCCCAAATGTTGTGGTAATATTATCAGGTAAGATAAAAAAAAGCTAAAATGTGTGTCAAGCTAAAATTTACAGTGTATGTAGCCATTGACTAAAGCAGCGCAGGATACACCTGGTCACGCCAGCCAGTCTGAGATAGGCTCGTAGTGTCTACAAGCCGTAACGTCTTACTCAACCAGGAGATGTGGTCATCAACGCGACAGGCTTAGATGCTTAACACCCGTGATATACTTTTTTCATAAAACGTCCACGGGGTTTTATGTATTTCCTTCACATTCTAGGACGCTAGACTCATGTCTGGAACTGTTTTACAAGTTAGTTCAGGCGTTACGATCACGCGTTGTCACTCATCTAAAGACATTAGTGATTGGAAGGATTTTAACCCAGGACCTCACACCTTGAACCTCGCGCTCTATCAGTAGACCAGCTCGATCTCGATTAGATGTTGATGATTTACGTAGTACTGAAAAAAGGCTGAATCAATTGGCAAATCAGGGTTGGAGATTAGGTCTCGATTATTCCACTCTACTTCTCACATATTTCTAGAAAATAAAACGAAATTTCAACATCATTTAGTATACAGCACCAAGTGTAAAGCAAACCATTTTTTCGACTAAGTCAAAAATTTGGAATTAAACAAAAATAACAATACACATATGATTGTTTTACATTATTGTGTTTGTAGCATTTGCCATTTATTTGGAATTGTTGATATGACATATTGTTACAACAATATTTAGTTTCTGAAATGTGTTGAGACGCCATCGTGTTACTTGTATCAGCATTTAAAAAATACACCATAGTTGCAAATCATTAGTAATTTAATTTCAGTTTCATTATACTTTTTGAACTGAAGCAACTCTAAAAGCCCAATTAAAAATAACAATACTCTCCATTAATTTGAGGATGAAGTACAATGATCAGTTATGTTCTATGACCACTCGTGAAAAACACAACTAACATAATACTTAAAGTTAAGGAACAGTATTTTTAAATTCTCTTTCTAATAATTACTACTTAACTAACACGTGAGAAAATATAAAGGGACTAGCTGCTGTACCCGTGCTTTGCAACGGGAAGAGGACAAAAAATAGAAACATTTTAATCATTACATCTGTTGCATATAATATTTAAATTCATTGTTAAGCCCCTGAGCTGTATATATTATTGTAAGACTAGATTACTTACGTCAATAGCTCATTGAATTTCATTTAATGTTTCAGTACATGTTTCGACACATTGTCATCCTCAGCTGAGTACTAGTGAAGTTTTTATTCACCATATGGTTTCGTCAATGTTCAATTAAATAACACATAACACAAATACGACACGACACGGAACATATACATTTAAAACACGTAAAGCTTTAGACATGCAGGCCTGCTCGAACAAAACACACGGTCACGCCGCGGGTCGGGGACAGACTGACTAGTGACTGTTTGTTTATCCAGGCTTATCATTGTTATCACGGAGGCAGTGGACAGCTGTTTCATTGGTAGGAATGATAGAATTGAATATCGAGTTGGAGCTAAAATTTAGTTTTTCATTCAGAACAAATTTATTTTCATCGTTATTTTTGTGAGCTCTGTATATTTCGTACTCCTCCAACGTGTCCAATTTTCTGCCCTTTTCACAAATGTGGAGTATTTCTAGACTGTCTTCTATTGTTCCAAATGAGTGGTTATTGTCGATTATATGTTGGCTGAATGCTGATTTCTGTTTGTTCGTCCTAGGGTTTGGTCTGTGTTCTTTAAATCGTGTGTTAAACCCGCGACCAGTTTGGCCTATATACTGCCCGATCATATATATAGGCCAAACTGGTCGCGGGTTTAACACACGATTTAAAGAACACAGACCAAACCCTAGGACGAACAAACAGAAATCAGCATTCAGCCAACATATAATCGACAATAACCACTCATTTGGAACAATAGAAGACAGTCTAGAAATACTCCACATTTGTGAAAAGGGCAGAAAATTGGACACGTTGGAGGAGTACGAAATATACAGAGCTCACAAAAATAACGATGAAAATAAATTTGTTCTGAATGAAAAACTAAATTTTAGCTCCAACTCGATATTCAATTCTATCATTCCTACCAATGAAACAGCTGTCCACTGCCTCCGTGATAACAATGATAAGCCTGGATAAACAAACAGTCACTAGTCAGTCTGTCCCCGACCCGCGGCGTGACCGTGTGTTTTGTTCGAGCAGGCCTGCATGTCTAAAGCTTTACGTGTTTTAAATGTATATGTTCCGTGTCGTGTCGTATTTGTGTTATGTGTTATTTAATTGAACATTGACGAAACCATATGGTGAATAAAAACTTCACTAGTACTCAGCTGAGGATGACAATGTGTCGAAACATGTACTGAAACATTAAATGAAATTCAATGAGCTATTGACGTAAGTAATCTAGTCTTGCATATAATAGTTACACATCCGCCAACGCTTTAAGAAACAAAATTCAACTTTTATATCCTTTTTGTTATGACTTTTAAATCTGGTAAATAGTGGATACCACCATTTTGGTTTTGATTAATTTTAAATCTTGTGTAGGCTGATATGAGAAAAACTGACCAAATCTTTGAATAAAACTTTGACATACATATATAATTTACCTTCATCTCCCTTAATTACATATCTTTTAATTTATTATTGACATTTTAAATTTCAATTTTGAAGTTGCAAAAATACTAATTATAAAATTTAAATGAACATTTTATTTTAATTCCACTCTTCTTTACATTAAATCACAAATAATCCTTCAATCTTCAGTTTCTTTACTCACAATAGATCATTTGCAAAACTAAGGCAGCTGTTATAAACTTTAGAAATATTGCTGTGCCTTATCAATACAGTCTTTTTAAATATTAAAGAAACTATATCTATAGGTACTATAAAAATCTTTAAACAAATAATTTAGCATTGAAGACAGCAGACAAAACTAGTATGAATATCAAAGCATCAAGGACTAAAAAATGTAATAGCAAATACAGTATATGTTTCATTGCATCTCCGATTCTACTCTACAAAAATATCAACAAACCACTTAATATACAAACCAGTTCTTTTAATCAGTTCCATCGTCCATTGGCCTTACATTTCACACTTACCATTAAGTAAACATAGTAACAGATATTTCATTGATTTTAGAAACAAAAGAGCACTGTGAAATGCTTAGTTTTATGATATTTTCCTTGGTTTAATTTAATCAGTGGTGTGGCAAAACATAAACAATACATTTATCAAATAAAGTAAATGTGAACTGAAAGCTATGTTAAGATAAAATAAGAGTATTTTGTAGTACTATTTGATAATTAAATATAGTTACACATATACAAAAGATTTTAGAAAACAAAAATCAATGACGTACAATTAAGTTATTGATGATATTCTTTAGTTTAATTTAAGCATAGGTATAGCAAAACACAATAACTTAATTTACCTAAATATAAACATAAAAAACAATGTGATGTGCAAGTTATGTTAAGTTAATCTAACACATGTTAAGCAGTTAGAATTTATTTAAAGTAGCCTCCGAATTCATAAAAAACATCCATACATTATAATTTGCATACTGTTTCCATGAAAACATATCAATAACATTATTTTCATAACTTAGACGCTTTAAAAAATCCAAAGCAGAGCCGGAGTTGATACAGACGGTGTTATAGAATTTTTTTTATTCTATAATATTGACATAGTTTTAGAATAAATAATCCATGATAAAAGGATAGATTAAAATAAACCTACCTCATAATTATGGAAAATATTATACTTAATTTCTTTGTATCAGCTGTCTGAAATTGTGAAATATGCAGTTTAGCAGTTCTTCTTGTTTACATGTAAATTCAAAGCAAATGTAAACAAACATCACAGCCATGGAGACCAATCAATATTTACTTTTAAAATGTTCACCTCAGAACTTTTAAAGCCAAAGGGGCAAAGTCTACGGTCAGTATCAAAATGTGAATAGTCCTATAATGGTCCTTGGTATGGTAGCTATATTTTTGTAAAATTTAAGCCCAGTTGATTCAGTAGTTTTTGCACCTATTAGTAACACACATACAGACAGACACCATTAGATTTTTAAATAATAGTATAGATAAACACTCAGGTTGTTTAAATATACCCTCTATCATATAAATAGCAAGGATTATAAATTTGTAACAAGAGTCCACAGTTTGTTTGATCAACATCAGGAAAATTGCCTTTTATAGATTAGACTGGGACAGCCTACTCTAGATCAAGGGACATTTATAAAAATATTTGTTTTTGTATCACTTGACACCTATAAAAAAATGGTGAGTAAAAAATAGCATAGCAAATATATATTGCATATAGTATTTTGAATTACGATTATATGAACAAATATATATTTATATTGGTTTGCAAACGTGACAGCAATAGGTTTATGTATTAATGAAATTATTCGTTAATCTTTATCCCACTAGTTTCATAAATTTGGAAGCACTGCTTTAGAATATATCGATATCTTACGGCAAGATGTTTTGAGCAATTTGGATACGATGCATTGTGATTATTGTTAAGTGGAAAAATGTAACTTCACGATAGTGTGTTTGGATCATCAACAGGAAGGTTCATGGAACTTCAGCTGGGCAAGGTGGTGGACAATCAATTCCTGATTATTAGTCGATGTAAGAAACAGTCTACGATCTTTCTTCTGCTATCCAATGGATGGATAGCCATCAACATAAACGTTCCTTTAAATGAAGACTAGTTGACTAATCAAGCTAATGCAAGAGTGGATGGATTGAAGTCTTTCCTAACTGGCGAAGGTGAATATGCCATTCTGCTGAGGCTTTTTGAAAGGTAGATAATTGGAGAGTTACAAGATTATACCTCGTGTAAACTGTTTGGTGAACGAACCGCAGTCCATGCAAATAGCCTGCTGGTGAAGAGGTCATTTTGCTGAGGCTACACATTCTGGTAAAGAGGTAGATGTTTTGAGAACTATAAGATTGTGATGTTTAGTTCTTGTAAACCCCTCGGTTAACGAACCGCAGTGAGATTATGCTGAGCTGCTGAGGCGTTGACCGTAGTCTGAGTGGCCTGAGGCAGGGTGCGTGGACTCTGCTGATGGACACGTCGCTGCTGACTCATTCATCTTCCTCGGGCTCAGTAGCAACAATGATGACATCATAGACAATCACACGCAGAACATTGATCTCTGGGAGTTACAGGTTGATGACCGCAAACATTTAGTTTGTAGTTTTGTGAGTTTTTGTTGGAAATATCGTCTAAAATAACAAGTCATCTTGTGGATCAAAAATTAAGTTAATTTAATAGTAAAACTGATAGAATGAAAAACTTAGATTTGTGTATACATCTTACTTCATCAAAATATAACAAACAACTAAACTCTGTTGCCAAGGAAACATCATATGTTCTTTTCTAACATAACTATTATGGACATTATAATATGAATAAATTACATCTTTAACACACCCCCGTAATGTCCATAATACTTTTTAGAAAAATAAGATTTAGTTAAGAGGTCACCATCCCAATGAAAGTTTTCATTTTAACATGTTTCAATGATGATAAGCCCTTTGTTAAAATATCAGCGGTTTGTTCTTCTGTTGGAATGTATCTGACAGTGATCTGTTTCCAAAGTTTTCATTTTAACATGTTTCAATGATGATAAGCCCTTTGTTAAAATATCAGCGGATTGTTCTTCTGTTGGAATGTATCTGACAGTGATCTGTTTCCCAGATACCAACTGTCGAACATAATGGTATCTCGTCTCAATATGTTTAGAGCGATCGTGGAACATTGGATTGTTCATAAGTTTAATCACACTTTGATTGTCCACATGTAGTATAGGAATAGACTTTTCTTCAATTGCGCCAATCTCTTTCACAAGACGAAGGGATTTACAGGTCTCGCTAGCAGCAACATATTCTGCTTCCATTGAAGATTGGGAAACACACCGTTGAAGCTTACTCTTCCAAATAGTCTCATCAAGATTGCCATTCAAAAATGCTGTTTTAACATCAAACTGTTTGATAGCAAGATTGTACTGAACTGAATAGCCTAACATAGTTCGCATCGTCTTAAACCGAGCTACAGGGCTGAAAGTGTCACCATAATCAATACCAGGATGCTGAGTAAATCCTTTTGCGACCAAACGCGCCTTGTAACGAATGATCTCGTTCTCAGAATTTGTTTTCAGTGCAAATACCCAGCGATTATCGATGACTTTTCTTCCTTTTGGTTGATCAACCAAATCATAAGTTTCATTTTTTATTAATGAATTTATTTCTTCATCCATAGCGGATTTCCAATCGACGACATGCTCAGATCTAATTGCTTCATCATAATTTTCCGGTACTTCGTTTGTAAGTATTGCAGAAGCTAAAAGCTCATTTTTATCTCTGTCACTGACACACATGACAGAATCATCTCTATATCTCATAGGTATTTTTATTCCATCACGTTTTCTCAGGTTATAAGTCTCCTCTTGTAATATATCACCTGGAATAGCGTTATCATCACTAGGACACAACATGTCTTGCTCATCAGTATCATTGGTTCCTGGATACACAATATCTTGCTCTTCTTCATGGAATATATTGTCCTGATTGCTGTCAACAAGCTGATTTCTAGTCTCATCATTTAGAATTGATTGCCTACTGTCAAGGGGATCATGCTCGATATCATTGCTACTCTCTTCAATGTTAAAGTAGTGTTTATCATCGTTATTGTTTATTTTCTTCAAAATAAAACATGATTCTTTTGGTGGAATGACCTTAACAACCATATTATACAATTGATTAGCTGTATTAAATATAGCCAAAGCAATGATTGTTCCATTTTGAGAAAACACCCATGACTTACCATTGTTTTTCACAGTCTGGTGAATGCCTTTTTCACCTGCTTTCCTCACAGAGAATAAGTTACAAGCAACATCAGGACAGTACCAAACATCATCGAAATACCTGTAAGTCCACTGTTTACCATCAAAAACCATAACGTCTATTTTTCCTGACCCCAAGGCATGAATATGAACACCTTGGCGAGCACTGTCCATCTTTTTAGGAGTATCAAATGGTTTGTAAGTGGCAAACCAGTCCCTGCGGTTTGTCACATGGTGAGAAGCACCACTGTCAACAAGCCAGTTGTCACATTCACTGAAAAATGACTTATCAATTAGGCCTACCTCTAGATTTGATCGAGTCATCATTGCAGCATTTTGTATCTCACGGGTACATTCATTTGATTTATGTCCTTTTGTGTGACACTTAAAACAAATTACACCTGTTCGACAGTTTTTAGATAGATGACCATTTTTGCCACATGAAAAACATTTTATCGCTCCTAATTTTTGCAAGTCTCCCTTTTTGGCATTTTTAGCTCCCATATATTTTGGCTGTTTGGAACTTACTTTTATTTTGGAAACCATGGCTACTGCTGCATCCATCTCGTCTCTGTCCTTTAGACGTAATTCAAAGTTGAGACATTTCTTCTGTAAAATGTCCCATGTCTTCACCTCCCTTGGTGAGTCGTGCCAAGTCACATATATGTGATCATATTCCTTTGGTAGAGTTTGAAGGAGTCGAGCACACAAATCGTCTTCATTAATAGGCTTACCGTATATTGTTAATTGGTTTTGGATTTCGTCAAACTTTTCCAGATGACCATTCATTCCAAGGGTAGGTTCCCAAGAAATGTTATGGAACTTATTTCTCAATATGTCAATATTTTCAGTTGACTTGACATCATAAATGTGAACAAGTTTCTCCCACATCTCTTTTCCTGTAGAGCAATTGCTTACTCTAAGTAGAGGATTCGTCTCAAGGGATAAAACAATATATTTTCTGGCTTTTGCATCATTTTTTGACCAATTTACCAATTTTTCGTCATAATTTGGTGTACCTGCTGTTGGTTTTCCGAATTCTCCACTAACAATTCCATAAACTCCTTCACATTCTAAGATTACCTTCATGACTATTTTCCATGTTGTGAAATTCTCAGTCCCTCTTAATTTTTCAATCTGTTTTTCATTACTCATCATTCACTATTCTATTAACTTCTAGATGATTATTAGGCTGAAACCTTTGTTTGGTGTTGACTTTAGAATTTGTCGTAAAAACGTTGAGAACGTGACGTATTAGAATTTGTTGTTAGAACTTGTAGCCGTGTCTTAGAGTGCTCATCTTCAAATCCGAAGGTCGCTGGTTTGATTTGGCGAGATCGTAACTGAATCCAGATGCAATTTGTTACTGTGCTATCAATTAATGATGCTTTCTAACAAAATGTAGATGTTGGATATCAACAATACCAGATTTTGGACCGTTCCCTTACAAAACATTATTTCTTGCATTTCTATTGCATTTTGGTGTTCTTAATCCGTTTTGCTCTGTTTTTGTTCTATCAACATCATGACAGCACATTACTGAAGTAGTGAGATACACATCTTTTCGTCAAGGCATCAACAATTGGATTCAGCGCCCCGAAATGTACATCAAACCTCAATGTGTCTCAAACCGACCCCAAATGTGCTGTACTAAAAGTACCATTGGATTCTTTGTATAATTCGGCTGCTTAGAAAACGACCTGCGCGGTAATGCTAAACCGATGCTGGATGAGGTCGCTTTCTAAGCGGCCGAACTATAGTAATATTTCGAAAATAGGGCTCTTTATCGGTTCCCTACTCTATTTATTATTTACTAAAAATATATTCAAGTATATCAACTCATCAACATTGTCCACTACACCTACAAAGATGAGTCACATTGTGTAAGCCATGGCACTCTCGAACCCCGACCACGAGGTCGCTCAGATTCACGTGAGTCAAACAATAGACGACATTGATAGTTTGTCCCTCGTCAAGGTCTGGAACCAATCGCTTTTGTCAATATATTCATATCAGCTGACACCCAGGGGGAACAGTTGACAGAATCAATCGTTCTGGTGGCGCAAGACAGCAATGGAGTGGACGAGATTCGCTTCGCTCGTTTCCCCGAGTCGAGTGATCTTGGCCTCTTTAGACATTTCACAAATTTATTCCGGATGTTGCGTTTACTCGCCTTAGCTCGAGGTTTGTTTACCTCCAATTCGAATTTTCTGTTTATTTTGTTTGAAATATACCTCATTTGTAGGGTATCAATGTAGTTAAAGTAGCGCTATAATTACTCTCTTATAGATTAACTAGCTGTGTGCCCGTTCTACGCACGGGGATCTTATCATAGTCAGTTAAAACCTTCTTATATAAAGCACAGCAGTTGGTTTGCATACTTTCAGATATGCTGACAAAACTATTCCTTCGCAAATACAGTATCTGACAGTTTCAAGCCAAAACTAATGCTTCGCAATTAAATGTCACCCGGATCTTGTTGGTCCATATGTTATATCCAATGATCAGTATTCCAAGTATCAGCATTCTGACACATACTTTCTCCCATAAGTTTGTCAACAACCTTTATCATGTGTAAGCGGTGAGAGTAAATATACGGAAATGGGATTTGTACAATTTTGTTCAGAATTTAAAGGACTATAACATAATGGTTAAAAGTATTTAAGGTACTACCTCAACCTCTTAATTTAACACTTTATTCGGGTTGACATTTTCATTATCAAGGCGCTCTTGTCCTTTCCGTGAAACATTGAGAAACAAGGACATCAATGCGTTACCATCATACATACACACAAAAATACCGAACTTAATTAGGGAATCTGCTACGCTTTAAGCATAAAAAGGTACATATAAAATTAGTACTTGAAATCTTTGTTAATGCCATAAAATTTGATCATAACAATTTATATTTGCTTGGACCGGAGATGACTCGAAATTCTGTCGAAATGCTATCTGAATCGGTTTGCTATATGAAATGAAGTACAGTAGGCCTACTATAGACGATTTAGATTGGTAATTTGTAATAAAAATTACCAAAATAGGCCACGAAATTTGTAATAAAAATTACCAAAATAGGCCACGAATTATTGATACATAAACAACGTTCAAAGTGTTTGAACAATTCATGATGGTTTGCTGAATAAATGTTTTACTAAAATGCGTTATAGTTTTCTTAGCATAACATTTTGGAATCCAGACAGAAAAAGCAAAAATTATACAGTTAAGACATCAATTAAATTGAATAGGCCTACGCCTGTAATAAATAAGGTGCAACACCAACGATAACTAATTTGTAAATTACTGTGATGTGTTGGTACGTAAAAATGATTCTTGCTGCTACTAAAGGTTAAAATGAAAAGAACAAGTACCGTACCAAAAACCAACGTTTACAGTTAAGAACTGTAGTACAGCCGACCAATTATATGCGTTAATCAAGGTTATTGATCTCTTGGTTTTGGATTTTCTCGTAAAAAGTTATCGGAAATCAAAGTTATTTCCCATTAATTGCTTTATTTTTACACAACTCTTAATGTAAACTTATCGGTGTCAGTTAAAAAAAAAACCTTATACAACATAACTTTCTGTTATTTAATAGATTACGTATTCTCTAAACAATGGTTGCTGGTATATATATTAACATTATAAGGAAATGTGACAAAAATCACACAACGTTGGGTTTTTGGACGTTTATAATTTTATTTCTTAAGTACCTAGGTAGGCCGTGTATTCTATGGAAAAGTACCGGTATCAAGGATCGTTGTCGAAAGGGTTGTTATAAATAATTGGGTAAGCATACGTACCACACGTACCCAAGAGAAGGGCTATGGGCCTATTGGCTGTATGGTCCAGCGATTGCATCACACGGTGAGTAGGAACTATTGACTTTATATAGTCAATGGTAGGAACAGAAAGTGACACATTGGAAAATCGAGTTCAGCATCATCCGTAAACCTCTGTTACAATCACCCACTGCAGTTGTAATTTTTTGCTTTACACTTTACACAACCGCCATGGAAGAGCCGTCAATGAGTGGAACATTGTTTCTAAGCTATTGGCGACGGTCATTAGTAAATTTAAGTTTCCCAGCCGTATACAACACTGATTCAATCTTGATTCAATGTCTTCTTTCTGGTTATCAAAACTCCAAAACAATTTTATACACATATTTCTGGTTCCTGACCTGGATGATGCCTAGTTATTTAATTTACGGTTACACTATATTATTCCACTGGCGATTAATTAAATCCTTTATGTAATAAAAACGTTTTTAATCTCACTTGGATGGGATTTGCCTTCAAAACGTGATCGGAAATGGTTGTGGTGTTTGTAAACAACATTTGTAAACATTTCAGTGACAGCTAGAAAAAATAATCTTGATCCGAACAGCTGTTCGTTGTTTCATAGATGATTATGTGATACAAATTGGAAGAAAACTTGACAAAAATCGCACAAAACTGCATTTTTGAACGGCCGTAATTTTAATTACAAAATAGTGAGACCATATTTTAATGGCTTAAGACACTCTCGCCAATCCAGTGAATACATTAAAATGACTTTGGTCTTGATAGGTACTCTCGTTTTCCTGGAGAAGATTGCGTAAAATGCCATCTTGAGTGTGTCAGACAGACAGACAGACAGACAGACAGACAGACAGAAATTTAGATGAGACTTGTTTCGGCTTCTTTAATGTATAAAACGTAAAAATAACCTAAAAATGTATGATTCTGAGCAATGTACAGACAAAACTCTAATTTTATTTATATAGATTATTGTTATGAATAAGTTGGACAGTTTAAGCTTTCTTTCTGTTCCGATCCAGTATGTGGAAGGAGTTTTATTTTTAATAACATTGAATATCATTCGATTTTTTGAAACGTTCAGACTGCATCACCTTTTCACCAAACCGACTTGTTCCAGCTCAAAAAGAAAATAATACAAACAATTAGAGGTGCATTGTCCAAGATGCGTCTGAAGAGATCATCGCAGAGCGGGGAACGCAGGGCGATGATCACTGGGCGTTGATCGGTAGCAATGTTCTTTTATTCTATAGGTACTACTATATCTAAATACCTTGCAAGAACTACCGGCCGTCAAATAATAAATACTAGGTTTTGGATAATTCATCACCGATTTGGAAAATTGTTAAAGTTGACGGTTCAACATTGTCTAAAACTAAACATCGAATGTGGAAAGGAAAACTGAACCATCCCCATCCAACTAGAACATTCCTCTCACCCAATTTCACAG